CTTTTTATTTCTCAAGCTCTGAGATGATGCAGGGAATGCAGTGAAAGATGCTCCATGGAGGACCTCAGTGGTTTCTAACTCCGCAGTTTCAAAAAGTCATCGGTTCACAGAGTAGAAGTGAAAACTGCCAGAGCTGCGTGTGGGGTTTTGTTTCCTTATGGGCTCACACCTACAAGCTCCCAATAAAATAATGCTGCTGCAGAACTGGGTGGGAGAAGGAAATGTATGAACAGATTCCCCACCTGAAAACTGTCCTGGTGTTGCACCCACTGTAGAGTTGTGAACTTTGGGGCATTTTCAAGCAGTTGGGAAAAACATGCAATTATGTGCAAGAAAGGCAACAGATTGCCAACAGGTCTACAAACTTTTAAACCACTTTTCAAGCTCCTGTCATTCACTGTGACAACGTGCAGGCTTTCCTGTTTGGGTGCTTGTATGGCTTCAAGTTTTGCAGTGAACTTTTACTGCTCCAAGGAAAGCGATTCAGGAATGGGAAGGATTTCATGTTTCACGTGCTGGTGGCAACGTACGTTGCAAGAGCTTCCCAGGAGTTTTGCTTCATTAGTGACTCACATTCAGCACAAGCTGAACCTTATTAAAGATGAAGAGCTGTTGGAGCAGGTCCAGAGCCAGGAAGATTATGAGAGGGCTGGAGCACCTCTCTTCTGAAGAAAGGTTGAAGGAGCTGGGCTTGTTTAGCTTGGAGAAGACTCTGGGGAAACCTCATCGTGGCTTCTAGTACTTGAAGGGAGCTTACAAATAGGAGGGAGAGCAACTTTTTCCGTGGGCAGATAGTGATAGGACAAGGGGAAATGGTTTTATACTAAGAGAGGGGAGATTTAGGCGAGATATTAGGAGGAAATTTTTCACCCAGAGGGTGTTCAGACTGGAACAGGTTTCCCAGAGAAGCTGTGGCTGCTCCTCCCTGGAAGTGTTCAAGGCCAGGTTGGATGAGGCTTCGAGCAACCTGGTCTAGTGGAAGGTGTCCCTGCTGATGGCAGGGGGGTTGGAACTGGATGAGCTTTAAGGTCCCTTCCAACCCAAACCATTCTATGATTCTTATTATTAATTACTGCCTAATCAGAGAATTGCTGACTGGCCAGTCTCTCCTGTGTGACTGTAGCAGCTCCACAAACCTCTTGGACAACTGCAGCTTTCCTTGCCAAACAAAACAGGAGGAATCACTTTGCATTTGTGCAGAGCTGTCAGTGAGAGCAGGATCTGGCCCATTTATGGGGAACTAATTCCTCTGCTGCCAGAAGTCCCCAGAGACAATACCAAGAGAGAACGGGGACCTTTCATTTCAGCCAGAGAGCAACCCCAGGTACTGAACTCGATTTTGGTATCTGTTTGGTTTACAGTTGTACTTACAGTTGCTCCTCTGGGTCCCGGCAGACCTCTCTCACCAGGAATACCAACATCACCCTGGCAATAACACCAAAGTCAGCCATGACATTTAGGAACCATGAATCCACCCTTCCCAATCCACTGCAGAGCTGGAATGTATTCCTGGATCCCAGGAATCCCATTTCAATCCCAATCTCCCTGCCCTGTTCCCCCATTTACTCAGTCACACCACCTGCCTTTTGGTGGGCTTTGACCTCTGCTGCAGCACAGTGTCATGGATGGGAGATGCCCACCCATCCAGCTTGCTGGGTAGCTCCACACATGCATGGGACTGCCTGGGAATGCTCTTCACCATGGGCTTGGGTGTGTTACAGCCAGCCCAGCACCCATTACTTTACTAAAAGCTTTATTTGTGCAGAAAGCAGCATGGGAGCTCCAGCTTCACAGCTTGGTTTAAAATACACTCAGAAGAGCTCATGATAAGTGATGGGGATACGTACAGGGATGCCTGGCTCTCCAGAGGGACCTGCCTCTCCCATCTCTCCAGGGCTGCCCTGCAGAGGAGAAAGCAAACACTTGGTTAGGGCATAACTTCAGAGAGTCATTTCTGGTTTACTGAGAGCAACAAAGGGAGAAGGGAGTTAAAACCTGGCTCGGGAAATACAAACAAATGAAACTTTTAGTGTTATAAAACCATGAAGAGAAAACTCTAAAGGATGGACATTTAAAGAAGAGATGAGCTGATGAGCAAGAAGAGCAAGAGATGAGCAAAACACAGTGCTTTCTAGCTACTAAGAAGAAAATTAACCCTATCCTAGCAAAAACCAGGCCAATGTCCTGTCCTGGCAGCAGTGGGTAGGGAGGGCTGCCAGCCCTAGGGCAGTGCCACCATATCCCATCTCAGACGGAGTGAGACAGGGAGGTTCTTTTGGATGCACACTCAGGACACCCCATTTAATTGATTTCTGCATCACCTCAGTGCAAGAAGCATCTTCCTGCAGCGCTATCTGGTGCATGAGATTAGCAAGAATAATGTTGCAGATGCTGAGGGGGAAATTCAGAAAGGAAGGGGAGGGACACACACAAAAAAAAAGACACTTTCCAGAACAGCTTTGTGCTGAACTGCTTTGGTCTGTCTGAGATTTTCTTTAATCTCACACGTAGGTGCCAATCTAAAGCTCCATGGAAACTTCTCTCTTGAGGTGGAGGGGAAGTCTCCAAAAGGAAAAATGAGATAATCCTGCTCCTGCTTGCAGATTCCCAGCGTTTTGATTCCCAAAGATGAAGCCTGCTCTCGGGACTTTGATAAAAGGGGGAACGCTTCCTTCTGAGGTTCACTAAACCACTGATGACTCTGCTGTGTATCTGCTATGTCTTCACTGAACCAGGTGTAAGAGCTGTCTCAGCAAGAGCAGGACCATCTCAGTCATTAGACCTCATGCCTGCTCCTCACTGCCAGGGGAGCTCAGCCCTAGCAGGAACGCTGACACCATCACTTGTGGGCACCAATCCCCAAAAGCTGAAAGCCTTGCCATGACAAGTTTAGTAGCTTCAGCACCAGAACCCATCATTAGAGAGATTCACTTACTGGTTCACCCTTTGAGCCTTTAATACCTGCTCTTCCAGGCAGTCCCTGGAAAAAAAAAATAAAATAAAAAAAAGTAATGTCAGAAGAAGTGGGGTTATTGAATTTGTTATTCTGCTCTGATTTGCCACACAAGGAGCAATGTTTGCTTGAAGCGATGGAGCATTTACATTTCTGCAGCTTTCACCATGAAAATTATGGCTTCAATTTCCTTCTTGTTCGCTGCACTAGCAGCTCTACCTACACTAATCCTTGACAATTAGAGCAAACAGGAGGAATATACAAATAGAACAGCAGCAGCAGCAATATTTTGCACTTCTCTCCAGGGGTGTTTAAAATCTTCTGTCAGACAGGAAGAAAGGAATACTTTACCCCTATTTAAATAGTTGGAAGACTGGAGAGGTGAAACATTTTGCCAACAAACATTAGTAAGTCAGGGGCAGAGCTCAGGCTGTTGTTGAATTAGGGTCATTTATACCCCAGATCTTACCTCCCTGCATAAGGGATGGACGTCACTGGGATGTGAAAGAGAAAATCCCTCTCAAATTGAAATTTTAAACAGAGCCAGGGTAGTACTGTACTGGTGTCTGGTGTTACTCCAGATGTTTTCCATTCTGTCTTGTACACCGCTCCTGTGTTTGTATGGTGGGAAAAGTGCATTTCCACTTGGCTTAAATGGGGCCCCTCATGAGACAACACATAAGATGAACCTCTCCTCTCCCCAGGAAGGATCTCTGTCCACCTGCCAAGCTGCTGCACCACCCCCGAGGCGGTGGGTCCTGCTGCCATACTCACAGGCAGTCCATTCGGTCCCTTCTCTCCAGGAACACCCATGCGAGCTGCATCACCCTGTGGACATCGAGAGGTTAGGAGGGACCCTCTGGTACTGGAAAACAGTCTGACACAGGTAGAGGTCACATTCCCAAACAGGCATTTGTAATCTTCTCCCTCCCCATATGTGCAGGAGCAAGAACCTGTTGTTCCTACAGGAGGTAGGCAACCACTCTGGTGCCCAGAGATCCCAGTGGTTCCCTAGTCCCTCTGCAGCTCCCAGCCTTCCCTGGCACCACACAGTCCCTGTTGCTGTGGCATCACCATTCAAAAACCAGGGAACTAATGTCTGACAGCACTTTGTCTACAGGCAATTAAAATAAACAGATGCCTCTGTCAACAGCTCTGAAAAGGCATCTCTGAAGGCCTTGACTCAACCAGTAGGAACCACTGAGTACACAGCTGAGTTTAGATGATATATGCATGGCCCATATGTGCATCTTCTTTCTTTAGGGAATTTCCTTGGGATTAATTAATAGAAGCAACTTCACTCTTCTTCACTAGTTATGCTATTGGAAAACTCTTGAGAAGCAAAAGCTTTCAGCCATGCTCTTTCCTGACAAGCATCAGTAGTTTTGCAACACACACGTCACAGTAACAGAAGTCTGTCCTGCAGTGTTTAAATAGGACTTTACAAACCTTCTCACCATCGAGTCCAGGAGCTCCATCCCGTCCATCCTTGCCAGGCATGCCCTGCAACCATGCACAATGCAGGTTAAGGTTATGAGGAGGCACTGTGGTTTGCAAAATACATTCACATCAAAGAACCTTTTGGCAATGGATCTAGCTCCAGTTGTACTGGGAGATTTTTCATCAGCAGTACAATTAGGGCTTAGTCCCACTGGGATTACACTGAAGGTTATCAGTGCAGAAGTTTGATAGCAAAGACTGTAAGATGAATGATTCCTCCTACAGTGTTTTATCTCATCATCTGCAAGCCAGACAACAGTGAGACTTGCATCCTATTTAATTTACTTACAGGTTCTCCTATGAGTCCACGAGCCCCTGGGTTTCCTTTTGGTCCAGGTCTACCCTAGAAATCAACAATAAATCCTGCGTTATCCATGACACAGCCCTTAAGAACAATCAGTCAACAAAGATAAACTCCAACTGACATTTCATTCAGTTTGTGCTGGCTCCTGTCCTGTTCACGTGGGTATGGCAGTTCTTTTGGGACACACCAGAAAACTGGCCCAATGCTGACTGCAGCATCTGGGAAAATTCTTGATCATTTCAAGGGATGGAGATGTAAGATCTGATCCCTGTGCTGTAGGCTGTAAGCAGCACTTAGGCACCTTATTACTTAAGCATCTTTAACAAGACTTAAACATCTCATTTTTTAAAGGAATACTTTCATCCCTGTCATCTCCTTTCCAAATAAACCAAGGGGGGACAAGCCACAATCAACCTGTGGAACAGCTTCCTTTGAATGTCATGTCCAAAATTGGAGCAGACAGGTGTTTTACTGCACTTACAGTATCACCTTTGGGCCCCTTGAATCCTTGAGGTCCTTTGTTTCCTTGGGGTCCCTATGACAGAGGAGAAAAAGCCATTAAGTATCTTCATCACACAGTAACAAAGATGAACATTTTGAGGGTGTAAATGATGAAGGGTTTTTGTGCTGGTTGCTGGTGTTAGCAGAGGTGTGAGCACACACATCCCCAGGAGCTCGGCTGGACTTCCTCAGTTACACTCTGTAATTCCTGACACAGGGATGAACAGCAACAGGGACTTTGCCAACGATCCCTCGGGGCAGAGACCATCTTCCCCTTCACTTAATGAAACATTTTCTTTAACCAGAAACAGAGTAGGAGAAAAACTTTAATATTTATTATCTAGATCCTGCTTGGCTTAATTAAATGTTTGGTGGACAGTGATCACCTCATTTTATTTTAGTTTGGATGAATTTCTTCTATAATTCAAAGACTAGGGAGGGGTCCCCAGAGGGTTGTACTGTCTCAGGGTCAATGCAGATTATGCTGTGCTGACTCATATTTGGGTGCAATAAAGAGGGTACGGGGTCTACCCACAGATAAGTGTGCAAGTTGAGTGTTCTACACTTCACAGAATCATTTTGGTTGGAAAAGACCTTTAAAATCGAGTCCAACCACAAACCTAATGCTGCTGAGTCCACCTCACCCTAGAGCTCTGCAAAAGGATGAGGACTGCATCTTTAATACACAACTAACTATTTCTGCTTGTAGCAAAAGTCCTTGTGAGCACTTGGGCACAGACCAGGCTCAAAGGATATAAACTGAGGATAACGCTTACTGGTTCCTCCTCCAAACTCTCCTTCCCAAGACCAACAGAGATGCCCCTCTCAAGTGCTTGCTAACAGCTACTGATGCTCAGAGCAGAGCAGTGAAGAACAGAGAGCAATGGAGATGTGGTGAACTAATTCTGGCATGGGGCACGATTGATGGAGAGACATCATGAGATCTGGGTCAGGTGAAGTAACGTTGCTTTAAGTGGAGGGAAAAAGGCAAAGGGAATAATCCAATGGAGATGGTCAGCACATCCCTCCTGCTCACGGGCAGCAAAGAGTTTAGTGCAGGAGACTTTGGTTGCAGAAGGCAGGGCTATAGAGATGCTGATAATCAGATACATACAGCTTTTCCTGGAGGTCCTGGGATTCCAGGTGGCCCTCTGAAGCCGATGTCACCCTGCAAAGAATAACACATCATTGTAATGCTGTGGTTGGCAGAGGGTGAAATAACAGTATCCCCACCTTATACCACAATCAAAAAAAAACCACAAAAGCCCTGAAAAGACACCCCAGAGTTCTTCCTGGCTGGCAACACAGTCTCACAAAAGATCCCCCTCTAAACAAGCAGGTTTTTACTCTGGATCTCCCCCACCATTATCTCTGTGATCACACTGATATCATTCATGGCCTCAATATCTTGATAACACACTTGTTCCTAAATAAATGAATGACTTTATCACATTAAAAACCATTCAGCCTCTGGGCTGATAGTCAAGGGATCTTGGCAAAAGTCCAAAGCCATGATGAGCTGGAGATTGACCCTGTTCTCACTGAGGAGTCCTGAAAATCTTTGTCCACCAGTGACTCTTTGGCTTTTTCTTGCAAAGAGACAGAACAGAAAGTGAAGTGTTTATGAAACGTTTCTCTGTTTTTTGCAAGATTCAGTCTTGCAGGAACAGCACTTTATCCTTCTGGTCTGAATGCTTAAATCAGGCTGGGCCTGATCCTGTCAATCCCTCAGGTATGTATACTCCTCCTGCCTTTGGAAGGTTGTTCTGCTGGGGGATGAAGGAAAGAGCCTGCACGTTGTATCTTTACAAGTTCCCCAGTGGTCTTCAGTGAGGAGAAATGTCACCTGGACCTCGCACGAGTCAAATTGGTGGTGGAGGGGGAAAAAAATTGGAAGAAGGTTTTTCTTACTCTTTCACCAGCCGGACCCATTGGACCAGGGAGGCCTCTTAGTCCTCTTGGGCCCTAATTAAGAAAAGAAATCAGTGAAAACCCAATCACTGTTAAACATAAAATAGCACGATGTAGCAACTCATCAACACAGGAAACATTAAGAAATAGTGAAGAGGGGCAAAAAGCTCAGCCTTCTGATGCACTCACAAGACATTTTGCCCCTCAGCGATGACCTCTGAGCAAGTGATGCCATGTAGACGTGTGTTCAGAGTGCCTGCTCTCTCCAGCTCACCTACCAGGCTGTCAAGCCAGCCCAGAGCTCAGCCTCAGATCCACCCAAAAGGTGTCCAGGGCTCTACTGGAGAACGAGCAAGACAGTGGCTATCGCTTGGATGTCTCATTTAAAGTGAGATACCAAAAGCAGACTCTGAATTAAAGCTCAGTGAAATCAGCACTATTTGTTTTTTTCACCAGCATCAACTTTCACATCTGTAATTACGCAGAGGCGAGAGCTGTTTGTGTAACCCAAGGTGATTGATGGCCCCATTGAGTTGCACAGTAAGAAGGTCATGGGAACTGATCAGAAGAGTAGGTGTTACCTGCAGGCCAACGCTGCCAGGAACGCCTGGAGGACCAGGAGGGCCAGGGTTACCCTGGGAGAGAAAAAGTAATTAGACAAGAGACGAGACAGCATGAGCCTGCCAACACAAAGCCCGAAACCTTCCCATCTTATCACTCCTTGAGCTCCCTCCCACCCAGATTTCTGCTTCTATGTTATAGCCAATTTCTTCTACATGCAAGAGCACTTCATCAGTCAGGAATTTACCCGAGTGATTAATGTAGGGCTTTTTCCTGAGCTAACATCCCTGCTTGTGAAACAATAGGTGTTAACTTATCTTAACATTAAGATTATTGGGGAAATTAATTTTCTTGAAGTATTAGCACATGGTCATACATGCAGAGCAGTGGAAGCCAGGGCACTTCAGTCATAGTAACTTCTCCTTGTTGTTCAACCAATTGCCTCACTTCTCCCTGTCTTCTTGAAGAAACTATTTATGGTTTGGTGATGATGCTTTTATCCCCCATCCCCCTTAAATGGAAGTTTACCTTTTCTCCTTCTTTTCCTATTTCGCCAGGTTCTCCTTTGTGACCAGTGTGTCCCTAGAAATAAGAGCACCTATTATTCACGTTCCAGTCTTGTCTCAAAATTTTGAGAGATAGAGGTGAGACCTAAACCCACACAACACAAATGACTTATTAGAAAATAATCTATACACGTGCTGTAAATGTGGGAATGGAACTCACTTCTGGAGTTCATCAGCCATGCACCATTCCTGTGTTAGGCATCATTGTGCCAGAATTGATCTAGTTTCAGGAAATGCCCAGATTTGGTTTTCAAAAGTGACTTGTGGTGAGGCTAGGCTCCAGGTCTCTGGATGCAATTCTCAATTACAGGTCAGGGACCACAATTCACTTCCCATCACTTTTGAAAATGGGGCCAAGGCACTTCTGAAAACCCCATTCTGCAGCTTTAACCTCCCTTTTTGTGTAAGTCATCTTTAATGTCTGCATCATCCAGCTTGCAATGAAATCCATGTCCCACTGAAATCTTTTACATAAACTCAGATTCAATTTGCTTCTTGGCTCCCTTCCTATTACTGTGGGAGAGACCCAGACTAATTTCAGCCGTGGCAGATGTTATTCCTCACCACGCAAAAGGTCCTGTGCATCATTTGCATCATAATGGGAGACCTTCACAGGTTTCTCCATTTCATAAGCTATGAATTTTGAATAGTTATACCCTAAACATTGTGTATTTCTAACGATATTTATGACTTGGCTCAGAGACCAAACAGACCTGCAAAAGGTCAGTTCATGAGGAATTGAGAGCACTTCCCAGGAGATGTTCCACCCATTGCCAACTTCTGCTAAATCCTGCTAAAAAAACCTTGAGTAATTACTTCAGCTCACTGCTGGAGTGTTACCTACTGCACAGAATTTGTGTGGATCATAGAGGGGACAGAGAAGTTGATGTTTAACTGCTGAGTGAGGCTTCCTGAGGGTTGCAACCTAGAATGTATGTACCAGAATCAAACAACTTAAACAGAAAGCTGCCTGGTGCTACGCTGGGTAGAAAATGACAATTAAATTGTATTTAATCCTGTAAGTTATGTCTTGCTAGAGTAAAATGCATACCTCTGCATTTATGGGGTCTGTGAGCACACTTTAAGAACTGGTGAGATTTTTACAGCTCCCTAAAGCCTGCAAAGGCAGCACATCATTCTCGAGGCAGCCCTGAAC